CGGGAATTTATTAACCCTCGGCGGAACGTTCGAGGCGCAAGATTTAACGGTGAACGTACCGAGAGCATTGTTCAGCGCGCGAACGTAAATTTTGGAAAGTCGGACAGCTTGATTTTTACACGCTGAAAACGTTGCTTTTAACCCTTCGCGGAGGACGTCTGGGCAGACCAGAGTCTGGTGACCAGACGCGACACTTTTACCGGTCTGGACGTACATCGAGAAAAATTTTGCTGCGAACCCGTCTAATAAATCAACAAAAACTTGACTTCGTTGTGGGCAGGCATTATTCATGGTTTGTTTAAATAAGGAATCGATAGTTTAAATAAGGAGTTTAAATAAGGTATTGATCACATTTTCTCGGTCCAGAACTGTTTTTTAACGATAAACAAAGTTCTCCGCGTGACTTGAATTACTTAGAGCTCAGTAAACGTAGCTTAATTTAAACAATTATAATGTTCATATAAATTTAAACAATTACAATGTCTTTTATCAGTACCAGCCCTATCTATGCTCCGCGTGACTCGAGTTACTTGGAAATCAATAAATGTAACTGAATTAAAAAAATTACGATATTCACATAAATTTAAACAATTACGATATCTTTCAACAATACCAGACGTATCCATGCTGTACCTTTCCAAATTGGGCAAAATTCAAGCCGCGTTGGAACATTTTTCCCGCAGGAGAAACACCGTCTGGCTCAGTCCTCTTAATTCGCAATTTATTCTAACTCCGTTCAGCATCAAAGGAGCGCGAGGCGATAACTCTCATTCTTTGAAATTCTGAAGGATAAATGAACTTTCTCTCGGCTTCGCGGTCGTCGCCTACGTCATTACTATTAAAACTAAGGCCATTCACCGACCCTAACGAAGCCCCGAAAAGCACGACGACGTACAAATGGGGGGCTGCTTCTTTTTCACCACCGAATGATCGAACGTTCGCGCGCTGTTCGGCTTCATTAGAATCGGCATTTGGCTCGGCTACGACTCTCCGCCATAGGCGGAATATACCTTTCGGGCGACAGCTGGTCGACAAAGCCGACCACCTTCTTTTTCGTTCCATTAACGCTGAGCGAGGGCATACTACAAGGGTAACGATTTACGATATACAACAAAAAAAACGATATCTGTGACTTAGATTTAGTCGTGTACGAGATGCCCCGAGAGAAATTCCGGCTATTCGCGATGGGAAACGCGTCGAGGCGCGGAATCAATTAGCGCGGCGCTGAAACTGAAATTCCGTTCAGCGAAATCGGCAGTCACGAGAGCCGAAATTCTGCTCGAACGGAGCACTTTCGACTGGCGATAGAAACATAGGGAGACTTGCCAAAGTCCTGCCACTTACGATATTTTATTTTGTATTTCCTATTTGGAATTCATTTGCGTGCAAATTTATATTGAATATTTTAGCTTCGTTATTTAGAACAAATTAACACTGAAGTAGTGCAACATTTGTGTACAGTTTTGAAATACAATATAAAAATTATATACAGTCAGTGTAATAAGTATTCATACAGGAACCATTTATTTTAAATGGGTTGCTGTACGAATACTTCTTACATTGATTGTATAATCGTTACATGTATTATTGGATTTAATATCGCGCGAAGTACTTTTGCGTGCGATTGAAAATAGTGTCTTTAATCGTTTAATCGATCACGGTAGAAACAGATAGAACGAGTAAATAAATGTCGGTAGCTCTAGTGTTAATTCGTTACGAGCTATTTTACAACTTGGAGTAAAAGTTACGGACCGCCTTAATTTGTCCTAAATTCTTAATTTGTTTTCTTTAAATAAAATTATCTTTTATTAAGCGCGTTTTAGCTTATCAAGTGTTTCGTTCGTTGAAAGTAAAAGACAACGTGTCCAGTTGAGTCCACAACTCTTACTAGAATAAGATAAACTAAGAATCTCTTATGGATTCACGGCAGTTGTGTTTGTTCACGATTTTAACACGTTTGCTGCGGTAATCGTCGCCACCGATAGGTGCTTTTTGCGAAGAATACTTAATTGCATACTCCTGTTTGGCATTAAAACAAAACTGATGAAATCCTTTGAGTGTGGTTGTTTCCGCTTAGCGTAAATGATCAAATAAAGAAATTAGAGTACAAATTTGTTCGTCTTCTCTTTCAACATTAATTATATTTGTCTGGAAGGTCCATGCCGATTTTTGTACACGTCTGAATATATCGAAATAGTTAAAAATAAATAACACGCGTACATCCCTTAAAAGGTGGAAAATTCAAATGTGCCTTTGAATTTTTCTTAAAAATTGGCATAAACTTTCTGAACAGCCTAATACGTTCTCCAAATGATTCTTTAGATGTTTAAAATATAAATTCAAATTATCGAGATAAATTAAGAAATAATAGTTACATGCAACACAAATGCAAGGTGCTCAATGCAGTGACAACACGAAGAACCAAATAATACCCTGTACTTAATAAAAGAACAATAATATATAAAACGGAAATTTTGTCTACGGTTAACTAGTTGGAGTTCACCACTTGCTACTTAACCTGATCCTTGTCAAAATAAAATTTCACCAAAGTTGCGGTAACCGAGGCAAAAGTTATCCGCGAGAGAGAATGCGAATGTATCCGAGAATATATTAGGCAAAGTAGCGCGTGAATTGAGCCATAAAAACGTATGACTCGTGAAATTGCATTGTTACGTAAACGTGGACGATATAAATCGAATATAAATGTAAGAGGTCGGTAGGTCTGGCCTCGATCGTCGATCAGTGTGTACTGGAAAAACTTGTTTTCGACTTTGAGACCCTGTACTTGGCGATACGATCAATCTTCTTGGAGCATCTACTATACAAGGTCTCCGCAAGTTAAGGGACCGGACTTGGTCAGGATGTTTTATTGATAAAAATAAAACGAGAATGTTATGTAATTACCAAAAACCATGTAGATTCGACTTCGTTTAAAAGATATAACTAGACCGCGGATCCTTATGCATTTATAGAAATTTTAATGTGCAAGAAACTACAAAATGTAAAAAATAAAAATTAGGTTGTCTATTTATAGAAACACTGCCATACCAAATAACTGAGTAGAAGTCACAGAAGAAAGTTTTGGGACAACCTAATATTAGACTACATCATCAAACTACATCAAAGCTACAAAACAAGAATATAAAAAATATTGAAACTAATGTTCGTGTTATAATATTTGCAGAATAGAATTAATTCCTATTTAGGTTCAATTTTTCTAAGCACGTCCACGAAGATTTTATTTTGCATAAAGATCCGCAGTCTAGATATAACGAACTTTTGAATAAGAAGAATCTAACAACGGGTTTGTTATTAGGTCTACTGGAAAGTTCTGCCTTTAGAATAAAACAAAATAATAAATTTTTCATACCTTGAATAAATTTTATCGAATAACATCATTTTTATCATTGCTTATGACATGTTGCTAGCGTGATTGCAATTTGTATATCATTTTTAATGAACATGCGCATACTTGAAACTCGTTGTAACCGGAACGGATAGAACTTTCCGGTAGACCTAATATATTGATACCTTTAATTAACATTCACTCGTAGCTGACACGACCCAGAATGCAAATGTCTATTCTTACGTAAAGTATAAACACGATACGTCGCTATCAATAACTGTGTCTACTTTTAAAATCAACAGCAGATGTATTTGAACGAAACCTATGCATGTAAAATGAAATTCCCTCGCTAACTCAATGAAAAATATGCTAAGAAAATATTTGATCTTGTTTCTTCCACGGTTTACGTGGCTCGAACTCGACACAAGCCTTAAGTAAACGAATATCTACACCTTGTTTCCTATCCTGTGGGTTGGCATTACGTGTTCTACGGTTTTCTCTCGGGACACCTTACACTAATATGTACGCATGTATGTATATTTATACGAACAGAGAAACGAAACATCTACGAACGACATATGTATGACTGAAAAACCGAAAAGAGTACCATCTACTTCAACACTAAACGTTTACGAATTTTCCACGACTGTAAACTCGATCACGACTCGTGCATCTTTATATCAGTAATTATTGCTAAACGAAGATAATGTTGTTCGAAGCAATTAGGGAATATTTTGGATAGTTAAGTAAGAATATTTTGTTGAACTGTTTAACTGATTGAAGTTGATTGTTACAAATCGAATTTACAACTGAAAATCGAATTGTACAATTGCAATTGGTTTGATTTTAATATTTGGCTTTGTGTATGTTACCATCGGATAATGTTCTTTTGAACAAATGTTAAAAAAATAAACGTCAGCTGCCAAAATTGTTCAAATAATAAATACATTGATAATATTTCAAATTTGGAAAATAAGGCTTGTAAGGGTTCATTCGAAACAGTGAAATTATTATAGTAAAGCACATGTACAATATTTCATTCTTCTAAAGAAGAAATGTTAGATGGTCCAAAAAGTTTCTTCCATTTCATTAATGAGTAACGCATACGCAATATTTTATGCCACACAAAATTGAGTGCAATTCACGAAAGAAACCTTTGGAACAACATAATATTAGACTACGTCATTAGAAAGATTGAAATATTCTTGTATCGCTTTCTTTACATGACATTGAACAAAAACTAGAAAACGCTAATTTCATCGTATACCTAATCTATGAATAAAATATTTCGAGCAGACGATTCTCCAGTTACTTCGAGCAATTTTCTACAAGGAGAACTACAAACAGTTCGACTGCGGGAAACAACGACGAATACGTTCGTCGGTTTCGTTATCTAAATTCTTACCCAGAAACGAGTGATACGTTCTCCGCGGCGCATCGAAAAAATCATCAGCCGTTAACCGGTCGGCATTAACGGAGCGATTGCGAATATACTCAGAGTTGGAACCGTAGAGCGGAGATACTTGGGCGTGTCGAGATTGACATTAACGTGTACCCGTCGAACATACCACGTCATTCGCGTTCCAGGAAGTCTGGTTTCTCTTACTTTTCCCTTTCGTCGAATGCAATTAAAAGTAAACGATACACACGGTACCTGTTTGACTTTGGCGTAACGATGTCCCTGGTCTCGGACGTGTATTTCCTTTCAGCACGTCCGCCGTTGAAAAGCTCGACGGTCTCCCTGGTAACCGTTTCAAGAAGAGGCTCGCCGCCCCTTCTACCCTTGCTGAAGGTCCTTTGATCCGTTTTCCGGACCATAACCACCCTCGACAGGGGCTGATTGAATTCGTGGCCGTGCATCGTTGGCGGAATCATCGCTAACGACTGCGAGAGGGGCCCTCCGACTCGCGGGGACCTGGAACAGATTTGCATTGCGGAAATGAGCGGGTCTGCGCCAAACGTTGCTAATTTAAAATGGAAATTTTACCCCCTTCCCGCGTTATTCAAGCCACGATCGTTATTTCTTTTTTTTCCCTCGACGAATTTTTCCATCGAACGTTCTATTATACTTCCGGAGAAATTATTACTTTCTAACATTTTTATTCCCTCCGTTATAAACTCGTAGGTTTGACGACCTAGGACCTTTCGCAGTAAAATAATTCATGTGGTATTAAGAATGTATTATTTTACAGGGCCAAGAACCAGAAATACAAGGCAAATCAAAAATTTTACTAATAGTTAAGTAATCTTTTAAATCGTAGACAAGTAATCCCCTTAATTTTATTTCGAGTATATTAATTTTCAAAGCGTTTTAGTTCCTCTATGCAGCGCTTCTTAAACTATGGGTCTCTTTTATTTATGTTATCGCAAAAAGTGTAGTTTTGATGAAAAATGGGTTGTATAATTTTTGTAACTATAATAAATACAATCTTACAATTGTGCAATTTTTAATATCATATTTTTGTATGTTTTTAAACAAATACTAAAACTATATCTTTTCATGCGTGTATACATTTTCAACGAATCCTCATGTATATCTAATAGTACGCGATCGAATGATTGTAATGGTTCACAATAAGATTAATAACGGCGTCTTAGATGTTTTACAAGTACCCACGTCTACAGTTTAATCTGTACTTAGCGAATGTTTACTTTGACCTAACGATCCCATGAAGTGCAGCGTCTACTTATTCAGACGGTTACGACTCCTCGTAGAGCTCGTACCGGAAAATAGAACATAACGACACGCGATGCTTCGTCAAAGTGTACTATGCATTAGCCCCACTATATCAGTTCCCACATCTTGATTCTTATCTTTCTGACGTAAGTAATGACAAAAGTGTCAACGAGGAAGCGTCTGTAAGGCATAACCATTCGCTAAGTATGAAAATAACAGTAATAAATAAAAATATAAAATCTGATTTGTTCTAGATGCGAAGCATTTAAACCTAAATACGATAAGGGTGAAACCCGGTTTAAAATATACGTAACCCTATTTTGCATGGGATTCGTCAAGCAGTGCTTCGAGAAAACCTGCCAATTATCTTGACCTTTTTACACATTTGCTTCCAAGTAACTTATGAACCTCGGCAACTAAATCAAATTTAATGTTTTAACTTTGAAATATCTTAATAGCCATGGAGGACTGAAAAAAGCACTACAAGAACTCCTATTATAACGGGAAATACATTTTCACGTGCGCACGTCTACATGGAACGTTAGATGGACACGTCTAATTACGATACATGTGGTAATAACGTCTCCTGGAGTATGAGGTCAGTATTCATAGCTCCGAGTGAGCATCTTGATGGCGTTACACGAGGTATTAAATCGAATCAAAGTATGTTTTTTCTTCCAACATAAACATATAATATAACAGGAATAAAACCAGTAGGTATTGGTTGATTAAACTCTCTGACATGGACCACTTATTTCTAGAACATCCTACAGCTCGCGCCACGATTATTGAATCCATCGTCCCAGCGTGAGCAACTCGCATCGATCGTCGGTAACGTTAATTTTTTACTTTCTCCGCTGGATCCAATTACCCGAGGGATTCTCTTCAAAGACCGTGCACACGATCCGGCAAGTAAAACAATTTATTATCCAATGAAACGCAGAAGTACAGGCTCGTTTCGTGCCCGAAGGTCGGTACACGTTTCCAAGACGTTTCGTCACCGCCACAATGTGCCCGATTCGCACGGGGTTCCATTCCCGTGGAACAATTATTAGCGCGCGAAACAGCGCGATCCCGAAATTATACGCTCGAGCTTTCTTTTAAAGTCTCCATTTCGCCGAGCTGATGGTAACCTAGTCGAACAGTCGTTAATACGCGGACTGTGCCAGTTTTCCATATCTATGAATGTTCTCGACCTTTGCTCAAAGGAATACACACGCGGGATAGAAATAATTCTTTTCCGTAGAAAGGAAACGTATTGATAACTTCGTACCTTGGTAAAATTACTAAATAACTTGCACGCTTTAACAAATTTAAGAAATATAAATTATGGAACGCCATTTGCACGAAAATTGTCTTTGCTATGAAATAACCATCACACCAAGGAACTTAACATATTGATAGCAACTTTATACCTTGGTCAAATTACTAAATAACTTGCAAGCTTTAACAAATTTTATAAATACAAAGTTTGTAACCCCGTTTGTACAAAAATTGTGTTTGCGATAGAACAACCATCACACCGAGGGACTACAGTTCTTCTTATAGAGACAAATTATTTAGTATAATTTTGTTATTAAGTCAACATTGAATACATACGAGTTAAAGAAGAAGAATTCGTACAAGTACAAAAATAACAAATTATTAGTGAAGAAGATCCAATCACCGAATGGAAATCTTTAACCAGTGAATCAATAAACGTTGAACTATTCTTTTCACTCTTTCGAGTTCAATGGGTTAACTCTACGCTATGAACTACCGTTAAATGTTAAATTACGTAAAACAAAAACGTATATAAATCAAAACGCGTCGGTAAGTTGCTGACACAGTTCTTCTATGCAGCTTGAAGTTTACTTTTATTTTTAATCCTATGCGTGAAAAAGCTAATGCAACCCATAACTTATTTGTAACGTTATTCAAAAGTTTTCAAACACTAGGAATTATTCATTGGGAACTTTCTAAAGCAACGTAATATCGTTAGAAGCGTCCATCACCTGTGATCAAAACACGATCAACAAGTCAACGCGTCCAATTTTGTTCTGCGAGAAATTAAACCTGAACGGAGTAGGTCGAACGACGACGTCTTTTTTTATTATTCCTACTTTGTGAAGCTATGATGTTCTATGTAAAACAGAAAAAGAAGATGTTCGAGGACGACTGTACGATCGCGACAATCTCCCATTCGAATCGGTGAAATTGCGAGTCGTCGATTGGAAAGGGGGTGACCAACGTTCGGCTTCGATGCACACGTAATCGGGAAAAGTAATATTTGTCGATTGTAAATCACTCGATGTCATGCTCACGGCGAAGGAAAGCATGTCTCGGCATATAGCTTTCGCTTTTTTATGTAAGCTTTTGACGACTGGGAAAAATGTCGAAGAAAGGATGATTCGTGGAAATGCAACAGTTACGTTTGAAGTAAGAGTAGTTTGGAAAGTAGTTCCTGATTAAGAGTTTCGAGTTTTCCGTGTTACGCGAACTGCTAAAATTTTCACAGCTATCCGAATAACAGGATTTTTGAATACTTGAATGCTCCAGTTGTCTAAGCTTTTCAAATAATTAAATGATTTAAACTTGTTCATAATTACTCGAGTTCTGGATCAATTATTCAGCTAGTCCAACTCTAAGCAATCGAATACTCGATTCAATTCAGTTAATGGAGTCGAAGTCGGCGTTATTAGCTCGGATCGATTCTGTCAATTGGTTAGATAGGTCAACTCATCGGAAAGGCTAACAGACACAAACTTCGTTCGGGAGAATGATGAATGTTTCACCGACCTTTTTAAAAAAAAAACCATGTCAATGAGAGAACTCGAGGGAATAATTGCCGAAGTACCCTTTGATGTCGATGATAGGAAATACAACCACAAAATAATTTTTTAACGAAAGAAAAAATTCTTTTTCTCTCTGGTATGTAGATATAATCAATAAATATTTAGAGAGTTCAGAAGCTTGTTAGACTTTGCATCGGGCTTTTTACTTTAAACAAATTTCTTCTCGTTCTTAAATTATGTTGATTTTATAATTATACTTCATACAAACTATTGAAGAACACACAAACTGTGACTCGAAACATAGATGCTTCAGACTAATGTCAGGAAGACAACAAAGACACATCCACCAAAATAAATTAATAAATAGTAAGTAAATCCAACGTTGACAGTAATTGTAAATAAACTAAAGCGTACATGCGTGAACTATACGTTGTAAATATTTAAATGAGACCTGAACGTGCTCGACCATAATGCCGTCGACAATTTCTCGGGGAACAAATATAAGCGAAAATAACGAATTAGTTACGTAAAACGGAATTGTGCGATTCGACCCGCATTTCAGTGCGCAGAAAAACCTTGGTAATAACACAGCGTTTCTCGAACATTGCTGTATACGGTCTGATCATTTTGTTTTTATTTACTATATAATGGATGTTCTTATCATTCGCTATAACATCTTATAATCGTTCTTTTCATTTAGCGACCTCGTTCCATTACTTGCTAACTTCTTGCTAAAGGTTTTTGCGATTCGTCTTATATAACACAATCCAGTGAGATTTGTTCTCACATTATTGTATCAACGTCATTCTTCTCCTTTTACTTGCACAAATGTATATCTAGAAGCTTAACCGGAGTTCTTCTTCGTTTTGCTCGTGCGAGTAAAGCAGATAAATATGTTAGGGGTATTGTATATTTTTCAATATACAATTTTATATATACAATTTAATGTATCTGGCAAGTTAACAGAGTTTAACGTAGTGAGTGCACTCAGATGTTATTGTAATTTTAATTGGTGGAATTATGAAACGAAATTCATTTAATGTAAAGTAAAGTAAAAGCCACAAAATCAGTTCATTCGTGAAATAAAACACGTGAAACTATATTTTAGAATTTTAATTTTATAGAATTTCATAGAATTATAAAAAGCACTGAAAACTACAATTACTTATCACTAGACTGCGGATCTTTATGCGTTTATAGGAAATTTGAAAGATTGAAATAAGAAAGATTGAAAATAAAGTTTATGTTTATAACATTTGCAGAATAAAATCAATTCTTATTTAGGTACAATTTTTGTAAGCACATTCGCGAAGATTTTATTTTGCATAAAGATCCGTCTACTTATCACTAACCATTGAATACAAAGTTTTAATAATTTCCGAATAGAAAAAGCACAACGATACCAGAAAGGGAGAATTCACTTGTTTAGGTTTAATGTCGCTAATAACAAACGAGCGATACTGA